AAAGATGAGCTTGTGGGGCCTTTTCGGGTTGAGGATGGAGTCAAGCTCAACTCCCAGTCCTACTGCCAGTTCCTGGAAGACACCTTCTTCAAGCAGTGGTACAGGAAGAAGTCTGCATCCTTCAAGAAAAACATGATTTTCATGCAGGACAATGCTCCATCACACGCGTCCAAGTACTCCACAGCGTGGCTGGCAAGAAAGGGTATAAAGAAGAAAATCTAATGACATGGCCTCCTTGTTCACCTGATCTGAACCCCATTGAGAACCTGTGGTCCATCATCAAATGTGAGATTTACAAGGAGGGAAAACAGTACACCTCTCTGAACAGTGTCTGGGAGGCTGTGGTTGCTGCTGCATGCAATGTTAATGGTGAACAGATCAAAACACTGACAGAATCCATGGATGGCAGGCTTTTGAGTGTCCTTGCAAAGAAAGGTGGCTATATTGGTCACTGATTTGTTTTTGTTTTGTTTTTGAATGTCAGAAATGTATATTTATGAATGTTGAGATGTTATATTGGTTTCACTGGTAATAATAAATAATTGAAATAGGTATATATTTGTTTTTTGTTAAGTTGCCTAATAATTATGCACAGTAATAGTCACCTACACACACAGATATCCCCCTAACATAGCTAAAACTAAAAACAAACTAAAAACTACTTCCAAAAATATTCAGCTTTGATATTAATGAGTTTTTTGGGTTCATTGAGAACATTGTTGTTGTTCAATAATAAAATTAATCCTCAAAAATACAACTTGCCTAATAATTCTGCACTCCCTGTAGTTACAACAGATTCTGATAGTGTTAAAACCACTTATACAAAGGTAGAGTTAAAATATAAATACCTTCAATACTGTATTGTCAGAATATTTATATCAACAGACATTTTGTGCTAAAAAGAAATTAAAAGTGTATATTGCCAAAGCCACTCAGAACAAAGCGGACTCCATTTTGCTATCTTCAGGATAACAAAAACACATAATTTCCTTGGTTTCTTCTTACTTTCAGTAACTAGCCACTTGCTTGAGCTGAGGAATGCATTACATAAACAAACCAAGATAAGCAATAAAGCAAGGGGGATGGAACGTTCTGTCTAAAATGTAAATGTTAATAGATGCAATTATCTAAACACAGACACTAGTGACAGAGAAGACTAATTAATTTTACTTTCTAAATTTTACAAGGTACCATTGTAGTAAGGGGTGAAATTGAGTTTAGAACTGTCAATTTTACAAGTTACGATCAAAGTAGATGCCACAAAGACTGGGACAAACGCTTTGAACTGATAGAAAATCTAAGTTATGGTAGTCATTTTAGATAAGCCAAATGACGTCAAAATCGTCATCCGGAAAAGTTAACTCTTTCCTGGATAGGAAGGTTTCGTTAGACGAGACTGCCATCTATAGATCAAATACCTAAATTGCGATCCATCGATTGGACACACCTACGGCTGCCTATTGGTTTATCAACTAATGACGTACAGAGAGTCTGGCCCTTTAAAAGTTAGGAAAAAGGGAAGACAGGGTAGTTGGAGTTGGAGACAGAGAGATGAATTGAAGTTTGGGCATCTGATTCGGACATGCAGAGAAATCCAGGACAATCTCTGGGACTAACACTCTACTCTTAAAACTCTAACACTTAGAATTTTACTGACTTTCTAACCAACACCACCTTTCACTATAACTCATGCACCTACATACAACCAATCAAGTCTCTGGGACTACCTACTCATCTGATGAGAATATCTACATAACTGGTAATTATGCTAGTTTTATTTAATTAATTTAAATTAATTAAAATTTACGAATAGCATGATATGACTGGATAAATCATGGTCAGATTTCCATATTTAAGAAATCTTAGTTAACTAAAGAATATATAGTTAAACATTCCATTCTGCAGGTGGAATTAAGAATAATTATATATTAATGTGATATTATCACGTGTTAGCATACCGCTGTTTTTATCCAGGTGTATTGATTTGCTCTAAAATAAGATATCTTTTTAACCAAATTAAAATTCGGTTTTGTTTTTGTAAAAATCTGGTAGATTATTCTTATTTGATGGTTCCAGGAAATGACTAATGAGCTGGTTTAAATGTTATTGTAATTGAAAATCACAGGAGAATAGGATACTATATGCCTAGGAGGATCTAGCCAGCATTGAAAGCGTTACTCAGTTGATCTAGCTGTTATCATGGTTTTATGGTTCTTCGCTGTGAAAAGCTTTACTTTTTGTCTGTAAGGATACCCTCTTAAATCTTAAGTGACAGAAAGTGCTGTTAGCCTTAATATGTATAGCCATTCCATTGTATTGCATATTTATGTTGTACTAAATATTCACTGATTATTATCATGCATGCTGCCAAATATTATTGTTAATTAATTGTTACAATTAAATAAAATCTATTTTTATAACAGATTGTGATTTATTTATGGAATAATTTTCACTTACATGATAAACGATCTCTAAGATCTAAGAAAATTGAAATAGTGGGCAATTCTCGACTGCTTAATATTATCATCCCATAAATATCCCCACAGTATCCAAGTACTTTCTTAACTCACTTTTAAGAAATAATAATTCAAATCATCTTAAGCTACACCCAACAGCCGCTGGAAAATATACTTAAATAATATTCATATTGTTAAGCATCCAATTTCACGAATGTGACTTTCCACAATGGCTGTCAGATCTTGGTAACAAATGTATATAAAAAATTTTTGGGGTGTTTCTGGTATTTTAAGCCACTAATAACTGTAGTTATTATATTTACAAATTATAACTTGGGGAATAAGTTGTCGTCTCCCTAACAGAACAAAGAAAGATGAATAATGTTATGTTTCCGATTATCAACTATTCTAAATAGATTACTAATTTATTCAAAATCTCTCATTTTAACATTTAAAGAGAATGTAATTTTACACAACATTGTTAACAAAGGTGGTAAATACTATGCTGCTTCAAATTATCCTTATATATCTAAATCATATACAAGGGTGTTGTTACGGCACCCCGGGTAGGAAAGGGGTTAAAGCCGTATAAGATGTTCCCTTCCCAAATGCAAAGGCAGCTACCAATCACTCCAAACAGCCGAACAGGTGAAAACCATACTGTGGCGGAACCAACCTCGACACTATGTTCTGGAGAAGCTTGGTTGCTCGCCTGCTGCCTCTGGGCTATGGACCTATGTTAAAAGCTTGTATTTTCCTCTGCAGAAAGGCTTGTTCATGCCTTTGTGCCTGGGTGTTCGGTAGATTGAACCTAGTGAACCAACTCCCGAATGAACGGACCACCTGGGTAAGGAGTGTGCCAGTGATTCACCTTAATGGATGAACGCTGGGTGGCCACTGTTCATATAGCCGAACACGTAGCAGCTTCCACCTTAAACTCTCGAATGGTCAGCGGTGTTCAGCTCCAAACCTGTGGAACTCAAAATGGACAGTTAAACGCACGAACACCTCTGATCCGCTGACCTCCCTTCTCCTGCCTTCAGTCGTTTAGCTGAACGCCGGTCCATTCGGTATTTGATTGTGTGAATAGTGTTACCCCAGAAAGCTATGCCATGGAGCCTATTCGTATACCGAAAGACAATGTGAAAGACTTTGGCTCCATGGCGATTGAACTGGATGTATGTGATTTGAGCTGTAACGGACCGTTTTGCACAAAAGGGGTAAAAACCGTTTAGGCGATCGGCCCCCTTTCCAGAGATGCAGGCACAGCTACTGCAGAACACCAAGCTCCTGAACTGGATACAAAATAGCACTCCAACTCCCGAACTGGAACCTCCCAAATAGCTGCTAGCAGACGAACAGGAAAAGCAGACAATCAGCTTACACTCCTGGCAATCAGTCTCTAACAGCATACAGTGAATCCCCCCAAGAACGAGACAAGGCTCCGTGTTGAGGGTCAAGCAGTGGTCTGAGGTGCTGGCACACCCAGCCTGGTTTTTATTACAGTGTTTTCAAATACAGGACCGCCCACAGGGAGGTATAAAACAACCAATCACATCACAGTTACATCCCACATATTCCCTCCCCTTATCCTGAGAGGAAACTCAATTATACAAACAGTTAAAACATACTTTCTACCCAACTTTCATAACTCCAAAACCATACATCACATTCACATAAAATTACATATTCACAATCAATCCATTCAGGGGAACAACATATTCAAAAATGGCACAAATCAGACAAGGGGTTCAAAAGTTAGTAAAAAGTCCTTTGTGACTAAATGAAGCATGGCTTTCTGGCCCAAACCAGTTTCAGAGTCTTCTATCCTGGAGATAAGTAATTGAATTATCTCCCAGGACAGACACAAGACTCCATTAAGCACATGGTTGCAAAAAGACACAAAGCACTTTAAAATACATAAAGTCACATTTATACATAAAACACAGACATTTCACATATCCCCAGATAGCTCAGGTCTGAGCGCACATTATTAAGTGAATGGCGCTCGGACCACACAAATACAGTTTAATCACCATGGAGCCAAAGTCTTTACAGTCAGTTTCATACGAAGGGGCTCCATGGGATTCCCATCTGGGGTATACCACATTCAAACAAATCTACTGAAACCCAGGCAGAAAAGCACGAATACAGCTTTTCTGCAGGCAAAAATAAAGTCTTTTAAAAGGGGGCCATAGTCCAAAGGCAGCAGGCGAGCAACCAGGCTTCTCCAATGCAATGTGGCGAGATTGGTCTCGTCACATGAGCGCCATTCGGTAATAGTGTGCGCCAGATCTAAGCTATCTGGGGATAGGTTGGATGTACCTGTTTTATGCAATGGCTGCATAGTTATATATTTTTATGTCTTTTTACTGCCATGTGGTTAATGGAGTTTTGCCTCTGTCTTTGGAGATAATTGGATTACTTCCCAATTATCTCCAGGATAGAGGGGAGGGATTGTAATGTACTGTGGGAGTGTTTTAACCCTGTATGCCTGTGATTGGTAATTTTACCATTTGTGTCCCAGTCTTCCATCTGGTCCCCTAGGGGAGTGTCCACCAGGTGGAAGACCTGCATAAATACCGGGCAGGTAGCCCCATGCCCGGTATTTATGCAGGTCTTCCACCTGCTTGACCCTCAACACGGAGCCTTGTCTCGTTCTTGGGGGGATTTACCGTATGCTGCTTCAGACCGATTGCCAGGAGTGTAAACTGTTCGTATGTTTTTTTTTTTTTTTCTGTTTGCCTGTTTGCAGTATTCGTATGGTTCCAATTCGGGAGTTTGAAGCATTCGTATGGTTCCGATTCGGGAATTTGAAGCATTCGTGTGTTTCCAGTTCAGGAAATTGGTGTTCTGCAGTAGCTGCCTGTGAATCTGGAAGGGAATATCTCCTAAACGGCTTTTAACCCTTTTTATGCCTGGGGTTACACATACGAATAATCCCCCCAAGTATGAGACAAGGCTCCGTATTGAGGGTCAGCAGGAATCTGGTTTAATGTGGGTTACCTGCTCGGTATTTATGCAGGTCTTCCCCAGGTGGACACTCCCCTAGGGGACCTGGTGGAAAACTGTGACAATAATATTACAGTAGCCAATCACAGTTTTACAAACAAAATCACTTCCCTTTAGCTGTGTAGGACCCTCCTCTCTATCCTGGAGATAATTGGGAAGTAACTCCATTATCTCCAAGGATGGAGGCTAAACTCCAATTTATACAATGCAACAAAAACACATAAAAATATATAACTTCTCAATTTCCCAACAGAATATCCACGTTTAAATAGCTGCTGGCAGACGAACAAGAAAAGCACCCAAGCGCTCCTAACAATCAGTCTCTAAGAGCATACAGTAAATCCCCCCCCGCCCCCAAAAAAAAACGAGACAAGGCTCAGTGTTCAGTGTCAAGGAGTGATAGCCGGGATCTGAGCGCACAAAACTACCGAATAGCGCTCAGATCCTATGCACACAGTTCAATCGCCATGGAGTCAAAGTCTTTCACATAGTCCTTTCATTATTCGAATGGGCTCCATGGGACTGCTATTTAAGGGTGGCTCCGTTCGTATGAAAATGTGCCGAACAGCCATCGTTGTTATGAATAAATGAAACAGATGAAGGGAGGTCAGCAGTTTCAGCGGTGTTGGTATGAAAAGAGTAGCCGTTTCAGTTCCACAGAATCGTTGCCGAACACCGCTGGGCGTTCGCATGTCCAAGATGGCCGCCGCCTCGTGTTCGTTCATATGAACGATGACCACCCAGCCGACCATTAACAAGGGGAAGTGTCTGCGGTTAACCACAACGTTCTAATGAGGCCAAGAGGTTAACAAGCAGCACACTTCCCCGCTTGGTGGCCGGCCATTCGGCAAGTCTTTCGGGGAAAAAGGGGAAATAACACAGGGCCCATTCGGACAGGAAAAATCACGAACAAATAGACAAATGAGCACCAAATAAAAGTAATCCTCAGACAGATGGTTCTGTCACAGGTGTTTATCTTTAAAACAAAACACTGGAAAGATTAACTATGTATAATAATGACAGATGAAATAGTAACAAAGTATAACAAGTGTAGAGATTTTTCCACAGATTGTGCCTGTTCTTTTTTTAGCACAACAGCACCTGATGTCGTTATATGTCGTCAGTGAGATGTAGAAGTGTTACCAAGATTCCAATACAGCAAAAAGAGGCGTTTCTTGAGATGCCACGTCAATTGCTGTATCAACATAACATTTACTATAATGGGATCCATGTCACTTAAGATAAATTCTTGGAAATGCTATCAATTAATTTATTCCGTAAAAGAATATTGAGAGTATCCAATGTATACACATCATAAACGGTGTAAAAATGTTTCATGGGAAAAAAACAATAAGCAAACAAACAAGCAAAGACAAAAGACAAATACCATCACTACAGTGATAACAGATTTTGCTGATTCAATATCTGCAACCAATTCTAGCCAAATATTTGGATAGCTGAACTCTACAACCTATACGCTACAACAAATACCCGGGTATTCTACAAACACAACCTCCAGAAATGTATCTAAGGAAAGTAAACTTCTACAGGCCTCTAAAGACTTTGGATTACAAATACAATTACTACTTTTCACTTTGGATTACAATTCCTATCCAGATCCATCCAATAATATCTTACTCTGGAACCTGGTGTTCTTTTCAATTCTTTCCCAGACTCATTTAAATCAACCACCTTTACATGCAAAGATCACACTATGGATGTTTTACTGCTACAACAATGATCAAAGATGCTGGGAGCATAAAAACCTAAAGACTGTTGGAGAACGTTGGTTTACTAATTTCAGGGAGAAATGCTGTACAATGCCCACAGTTTAATGGAAAGGGTGTTATGGGCAAATGCAAGTATTACAGGTTTTATAATGAAATGTATTTCTTAAACTGTGTACTTTGTCTTTAAGAGATATTGCAAACGGGGGCGGAGCCTGACCGCGCAAGAAAATGGCTGCTTAATTCTTGTGCTCCGTCGAGGCCTCACCCTAATCTAAAGCCATCTTCAGCACCTGAGCCCCCTGTACATCCCCTATTCACCAACCCCACTTACCTGCACTTGACCACCACATTAGAGGCGGCAAAAAGACCAGACCCTCGTCTGTGGCACCGATCTTCCCATGGTCCCAAGAGAGGGCCCAGACGCCAGCGCTGGGATCCTCCCTCCCGGGTGAGGATTCAGAGATGGGCAGCCAAGCGCCCGCGGGTGGACAAGAAGCCCCGCTGACCCGCAGGGATATGCTGGGATTCCTGGCGGAGTTTAAAACTTCAGTGGCGGAGGAGCTTGATAAGAGACTAAACCCAATATTAGAGAATATGGCGGACCTCACGGCTCACGCGCAAACGACAGAAGCAAAGCTCAGAGAACAAGTGTGGGTCCTGGAGGAAGCAAACGAGGACCTAAGCAATAGGACAAGGCGTAATAAAATAAGGGTGCGTGGAGTCCCCTGGAGACGATCTCCACAGGGCTCCTTCCAGGCACGCTGCAAAAGATATTCACCAACCTGCTGCCGGAGGCTTCTTCGACGGACCTCCTCGTGGACCGAGCGCACAGGGCGCTGAGACCTCCTAGCATGACCTCCTCTACTCCCCGCGACATAATAGTGCGGATGCACTTCTTCCACATCAAAGACCGCCTTATGCGGGCCGCCAGAGAGACCCCCCTGGGGATCCGGGGGGCTCGCCCGGCCGAGCAGTCATCAGCAGACAGCCGCCCGCCCGGAGCACTCTGTGTCCCCACACGTCGAACATGGGCCTGCAGCCCACGGACTTAGGTTATCCTCCCGCCCCAGGCCCCCCACGGAGCCATAGTGGGGCAACTGGTCGCCACCCGCCGACGACTTACCCATGACTGCCAACACAACACTGGCGCAGCCGCACATGCAATTGCGCCTGACGTCCCTAAATGTCAAAGGCCTGAATACCCCGGGCAAGAGACATGGTATCCTGAGATGGGCCAATCGCACCGGCTCTGACATTATCCTACTCCAGGAAACCCACTTCACGAACAGCAAAAACTTTCCATTAGCCAATAGACACTTCAGACGGTACTTCCTGGCCAATTCCCCGATTCCAAAAACAAGAGGAGTCGCTATCCTCTTACGCAACTCATGTCCCCTGGACGATATAAGGACCATAAAAGACCCCGACGGGCGATTTCTCTTCCTCACGGGTCGAGTGGGGGATGTCTCCCTGGCGGTTTGTTCAATTTACACCCCTAACACTCCAGATTCCGGGTTTCTGGGAAGACTTCCGCACCCATATAGCGAGTTTAGCAACAGGGCACGTCGTCATAGGAGGCGACGTTAATGCGACACACTCTCCAACCACGGATCGGACGGCGCGTTCGGACAAACAACCGACCTCGACCAGAAACGACAAACTATACGCTACTTTCCTCAACAAGACAGCCCTTATAGATGTCTGGAGAGCCCAGCGTCCGTCGTCCAAGAACTACACCTTCTATTCTCATGTGCACAAGTCATACTCTAGAATCGATCTGTTTCCTGACTTCACAGAGTCTCCAGCCTTGGACAACGCACTCAACCATAGGCAATATCGCGTGGTCCGACCATGACAAAATTGCCCTGACGATAGGCATCCCGCGGATGACCCGTGAGTGGCGCTGGCGACTCAACCCGTGGATTCTCCGGGACAAAGCCACTATACATATAATAAGCGAGGACATCAAAACCTACTTCGACTTCAACGCTGGAGGCGAAGTGGCCCCGGCGGTGGTGTGGGCGGCTCACAAAGCCATGATGCAGGGAAAACTTATAGCAATAGCCTCGGCACACAAACGCCAACGATTGAAGGACCTCACTAGGGCGCTGGAGGATCTGTCGAAACTGGAGGCACGCAACAAACAAGACCCCTCGGACCTGGTCCTGACCCAACTCAGGGACGTCCGGGAAAGACTGGCCCAGATATCAAAACTTTTTTTTTTTTTTTTTTGTAATGCACAGAAAACATTACAAGCAGGCATGAGGTGCCCCGAGAGCAATCCTCAGGCTTTTTCTCGCAAAACATGCGGGGCATTTGCTTACAAGGCACATTTTTTATATTATTGTTAGCTTATACAAATCAGTTCGTGAGAGTAGTGTTACACTTTAATTAGGCTAGGACAGTGTTTAAACTAGTCTGCGTGCATCACAGGTTATGCATGTTATGTATGAAATTAATGAGATGTGTATTCAAATGGTTCTGCCTTATTTTACAATAGATATTCATCTCAAGCTAGGTATATGTTACGTAAACTTAATCCAGAACAACAAATCTGCTCTGCAAACACATTTTACAAGGGTTAAATAAGCATATATAGCGGTGTGCATTAAATCAAGACATAAAAATGAGTTTTGCAATGTGAGCTAAGATTGCCACTGGGTCATTCCTGTAGATGGGAGCATATAAAGTCCCGAGTGTTCAAGAGTATGGAACATATTCAAGTTGGACTGTGCATTAGGGGACCAGCGTTGGTTTGTGTAGCCCATGCCTGGTGCTGTCAGGCTGCTTGCTCAGATGGGTCCAGATATCAAAACTTGACGTAGCCAGGAACCTCATGTGGACAAAACAAAGATTCTACGAGAAAGGGAATAAAGCCGACTCCCTTCTCGCCCGTTGC